ATTCTTGCCATAAGCTATTAAGAGTTTTCTGCAGTGCTTAACTCTAAACTTCCCTCCTCCACATGCCGCACTATCCTATTTTACTAATCATTGAAGTATACCATAGAAAAAAATCGGCGAAGGGTAGTAGTACGAGTTGCACTACAAGGCAATTTAATAACCTACACTTGACGATTTTCTCAATAAAATGCATTAAAATTAAATACGATCAAAGTTTGTTCATAAGCCTGAGCTAATGATTCTGCATCAGGTCGTTCTGCTGCTTAAATTGAATAATTATAAAGATGCTCTTCTGCTACTTTATTTTTACGCTGAATAAATCATTCCTTATGCTCAAGAATAACGACTCGAATGACAAAATGCATCACAACCCTCTTATATCCTATGTAATCTTAAAGCAGAAATCAGATCTAATAGTTTTCAGTTTTTGTCAGCTGGGATGCTGCTGTACTACTTGGCAGCTATATTCAAAGGTCTTCATCCACGGGTTGACGACGACTTCGTTGACAAGCTAAACTATCATTACACATCAGCTATAATTTTCGCCTTTGCGATTATTGTCTCTGCGAAACAGTATGTTGGTAAGTTACAATTAAAATATCATTAAGCGCAAATATAATTTCAAGTGTTTTGCACATCTATGAAAGTGAAAGTAAAAATCTCCTATTGTCTGGCATCCTTTTACAGGCTATCCTATCCAGTGCTGGGTACCGGCTCAGTTCACTGATGCATGGGAACAATACACAGAGAATTACTGTTGGGTTGAGAACACTTATTACCTGCCTCTTACTAGCGCTTTTCCTCTTGAATATGGAGATCGAAGGTTGCTACTTTTCCAAAAGAATCTGACTATAGTAGAATGTTGGCCAATTCTCATTATTTTCTGTTTTAGGGCACGCCAAATCAGCTATTATCAATGGGTGCCGTTCGTTTTAGCTTTGGAGGCACTCTGCTTCTACATTCCGTGCATAATGTGGCGCGGACTTTTACACTGGCACTCAGGTTTGTATTTCTGGAACTTCAAATTCAACATAATGAATGAAACGTGACGTTTGCTAGTGCTACATAATATGCCAACCAACTAGACTTACAGTCAGTAAATATACAGAAGAAACTAGATCCGACCAACTTCCAAGACACTATCCGCATGGCTTTGTATAGCTTTAAAATTTAACTTTTGCAAACTTATGACATGGGGATTGCTCGGCGATATTGTATAGTGAGATTA